TATTGATAGATATAGGTTTTAACATAGTTACAACAAGTGTCTGAATGGAATACTCGAATAGATACTTTTATGCAGAGAATTACGTGATTTGTTACATTGTTGGCAACTTTGTTACGTTGTTGCTAACTGACGATTCGAAGAGAATGAAACCGTTTGGAAACAGTTTATTTCCCGTCACATCAACAAGAAAGGGAAATCAGTCCAAATCATTACTTTTTTATTCCAAAAGACTGATTTGCTGTTTGTTTAGAAAGTATTTCGCAATGACGCACGATAGGCCTCTCCATATTCCAAGGTGCGAGGGCCAGAACTTAGTTTTTTTGGGTAATTTAGCAGACGCTCTTATCCAGAGCGACTTACAGTAGTGAGCAGATACATTTTGGGGCTTTTTCCCCCCGTACTGGTCTCACGTGGGAATCGAACCCACAACCCTGGCGTTGCAAGCGCCATGTTCTACCAACTGAGCCATAGAGATATTTAGTGAATAAAAGTTGTTTGTCACATTTATGATTTCATTAAAAATTCTGAAAGATCTAGTGATATATTGGGTCACTTTACCCTATTGTTTACCATTCCTTAGCAACATTTGGTGTTATTTCATATATAAAAAAATACTCTAAACTTCAAGGAAATAGGGATTTTACACTCGAACTACACTATAATTTAAATCAAACGTATTTCTTGCAATGTCACATGTGAATACCTATAGAACATGTGAGCCATACTCCTCAGGAACAGCAGGGAAGCTCTGTCTTGTGAATAATAAAGTAGGCCGTTTTAGAAGAAGATATAATGCTAATGTCCTTTGCACATCAATGGCCCATGGTCAGTCTTTCTACACTAGTGAATCATTAGTTGGCCTACCTACTGCACAGAGTTTTTTATTACGATTATTCCAGTCACCCAGTAGACCCAACAAGACATGCCAACATCCATAGGCTAGTGAGTTGGTAGTACTGTTTGCTTTTGAGTTTGTACCTCATGCAGTGAGGTACAATCAGTTGACAACTTTACAGCATATAGTTCATGGAGAACTTTCAACAGGCTTTCGGGATTTTGGAGCTATCACAATTTCCATGAACGAAGAGCCTAAAATGCCATCATAAACAATAGGCTACAATTCATTTTGATTACTTGTTGAACCTCAAGAGGTTGGTAAACTGTTTTTTCAGCATGTAAATATCAGGTGACACCATGATAACGAGGTAATGCAGAATACAGATGTCCATAACACTAGGCCCTAGATGGGACCAACTGCTGCATACCTCCGAATGACAATTGTTTGCCTTTTGTTTATGAGGTGATACCATCATTGGGCCTTTCCATATTCTGTGAGCTCAGTAGTTCTTCAGGCCCCAGGGCTATCAAGACAATAAATGCATAATGTCAAATGAAGTCATAGGCACTCCAGGCCAATCTCCCATGGTAACGCCTCAAATATTTGCTTAACATTTATTAATAAGCAGATGTTCGCAGGCTTTCATTCAGACTGCATCATGTCAAATCAAATTTTATTGGCCACATGCACCGAATACAACAGGTGTAGACATTACAGTGAAATTCTTATTTACAGCCCTTAACCAACAGTGCATTTCTTTTTAATAAAAAAGTAAAATAAAAGAACAACAAAAAAGTGTTGAGAAAAAAAAGAGCAGAAGTAAAATAACAGTAGGGAGGCTATATATACAGGGGGGTACCGGTGCAGAGTCAATGTGCGGGGGCACCGGCTAGTTGAGGTAGTTGAGGTAATATGTACATGTGGGTAGAGTTAAAGTGACTATGCATAAATAATTAACAGAGTAGCAGCAGCGCAGTGCAAATAGTCTGGGTAGCCATGATTAGCTGTTCAGGAGTCTTATGGCTTGGGGGTAGAAGCTGTTGAGAAGTCTTTTGGACCTAGACTTGGCACTCCGGTACCGCTTGCCGTGCAGTAGCAGAGAGAACAGTCTATGACTAGGGTGGCTGGAGTCTTTGACAATTTTGAGGGCCTTCCTCTGACACCGCCTGGTATAGAGGATGTTGATGTATCGTCACTACTAGCTTGTGTTTTCTAGTTCCTATTTCACAACACAGCTAGGCTAGTTACAAAATCTGTGCTCCCTGCTCTGGAAATTTCACGTTGCCAGAAATCACTGGCACAGCCTCATAACCAAGGCAGGCCGTCCAAAAATGGAGAAATACAGTTCCACACGGGGGAAATCTTTGCACTCCGGCATGCTAATTTACGAGTGGTTCTCCAGCACATCTTAAAGTGCTCTGCCCTTTGTTTTCCAGCACCCCATTATTTCTGCTGAATTAGCAACTCCAGAGCCACCGATGGTACTGATTAAGGAGCCACTGTTGGATTAGTTTGTACAAACTCTCTGAAAGAGAGAGAAAGCGATGGATGGAGGGAGTGAATGGCATTTAGTTTGAGCTTCACATTTCTCAGTGAGGTTTTACGATTCAAATGTAGACCATTTCTAATAGTTTTGTAGCATAATATGCATTTGAGGAGGTAAGAACTCTCAGGAGACTCACTCAACATTGCTGTATTACCAGACCACCCCATCACATCCACAACCAGTTCTCACCTCACTAAAAGCAAATGTGATTAACTATTAGAATAACTTTGCAATATCAAATAACTTTACGTTTTCGCACATTTACATGAGCAAGCCGGGCTTCAGTGTATGCTGAAAAAATCCCAGTTAAAGTGATATCAAGCCCTTATGTTATGGCACTTCAGGGATAAGGAGAGAAAGCACTCTGGATTATAACGTGAAAGCTTTAGCTGGTGGGGAAGGGAATGCCTTTTGTCAGCTTGGAAGTCAATGACCTATTTTCCCTTGTGAATCTGTATTAGTCCAAGTCCTTTAAGAACCACATCAAAGAACCAGCAGGTCTATCTTATCTCATTACTAAGAGGATGGATAGCTTGGTTAAATTCACTCTTCAGACACGGATAAATGTGTGGCGCACATTTTCAAGTCTAATAGATACAGGCCAAAGCCTATATAGCACTGTACTGATTTAATCTGGTCCACTTCTGGACCTGGATTTCTGAAGGAAGTGTAAGTGTCAGAAACACTCCAGGCTTATCTGGACATTTTTGATAGTACACCTCTCCACCTCTCCCATATGGCCTGATTAGTGGAACAAAAACCTACAGCTGCGTGTCGGGAAGGGAAAAAAAGTTTTAGAGAGAGAAGTAAAACTCTTGTTGAAGAAACTATTTGCTGAAGAATAAAACCAGGGCCAGAAAAATGCAACAGGAGTTTTTCGGCTGTGGAAACTTGCTTTCCCGGCATTGTGAATAGATTACCAGTTGTTAGTTTGTTTTCCCTCCCTCCTCTCAGCTCCAGTTGATGGATTCCAGATGGGGGGCAAGCCAAAAAAAGGGTCTGGCACCACAATGTTGATCATGCGCAGCAGCGTCAATAACTCCACCACTTTATAACACTCTGGGCCAGTCAGGCTTCTCTAGGCCTGTTTTCCACCCCCTCTCAAAAAGGGAAAAAAATGGAATCTCTCCCCTCCATAACTTATCTGGTTGTCTGTTTTGGCTTGGTGATTCAAGAGCAGATTGGATGCGTGAGCTTGTCTGGCATGGAGTTTCTCTCAATGTTTAAAAAAGGGTCCAATGCCAAAACTAGGCCTATAGCTGGTTAGCTTTTTTGTTGTTGTTGCATACAGTGGTTTGTTTTGAAAATGACTCAGCTGCTTTCCGACATGACTTCAGTTGGAGCTGTATAGGCTAGGCTCACTCAGACAAGTTATGTCTCCTGTTTAAAAACAGAGAGGCCAGTATATGATTGGTTGTGAAGTGAACGGCCCTCCATGTGGTGTAACTTTCCTCTAACAAACGTCTTTCTTTACAGGGACCTGAGCCATAATAAATTGCAGTCGCTCGACAGCACTGCGTTTAGGAGACTGCGGCACCTAAGTGAGATGTAAGTATACTCTGTGTTCTTTATTTCCCTAGAGTAAACAACGTCCGTCACAAACACTCTCCCTCCACCGCCCCTACACACCACATGTGACAAACAACCTTTATGCTTGTGTGTTTACAGAAAGCTTAACAACAATGAATTTGAGACGGTACCTGATTTGGGCCCTCATGCGGCAAACATCACCACCCTCATTCTGTAAGTATGAATTACTTTTGAAACAACCCTCCCCCCACCAACCCACCCATCAAAGTTGTCAGTGCTAGTTAACAGTGTAGAGCTGCTAAGCGCTGCTCCTCCCTCTGTGGTGGAACCCCTTTTGGCTGAGTTGGTTCCCAGACTGGGCTGTCCCAGGCATGGCAGCCAGTTTGAGACAAGTCAGTCACATGTCTGAAAGTAAATGTCATCGTTGAAAATGGAATCGCCAGAGGTGGTTCCAGCGTTTCCATAAGTGCTGATCCAGGATCTGTAAGATTAGAGTTTTCTATCTGTCCATCTCATTTCCGTTATAGATAGTCTATATGAGTAGTGTGGCATTGCATCCATCTGGAGGTTGAGTGTTTGTATACACTCCTAGTAGGATGGCCCCAGAACATGATGAAGCAATGTAGGGCTTTCATGTGATTTCAAAGACAAATAGACCCATCAATGTCAGAGGTTTCAAAGGCATTGATTTCGAACTTTCCCCCCGGCACAATGTGTCTCACAAAATCAATGGATAGGAAGTTTTTTTGCACAAGAATGCATCCATCTCAAAAACTAGAAGAGGCATATTCCTCATCAAGCCTGAACTTGACCAGCTGTAACACCAGAGAAAGAAGCCAACAGCCAAAGGGGATTCAGACGTCGGCTATTAGTCAATTTGTCTTCAGACTTTTAGGTGTGTAGCCTATAGGCCACAGATGCGGCTGGCAGGTATTATCTGGAACTAAATCAAAATACAGTACACCAGGGTATGTTTGATTTCCAATAGGTCTGATTCAACATTTATTTATGAACTTGGAAACATTGTCGGTTAGACAACATTGAGAGTTTTTATGACTTATACAAAACTATTCTCCCCTCCTCTCAATTCTCCACTCAAGCTGCAATTTGGTTGATGTTGCTTTGGAAAACATATAATGTATGAATATGAGAACAATTCCAATGGATTTCACCATTGAAAGCAATGTACCGAAGTATGTCAGCCAGCCTAGTTGTCATCCTCAATGTGCATTTGGGAATGATCAATTCATACTTTCTTACCACAACGTGTGTTCGTTTGTGTCTGTGAGTGCGTGTATAGTATTCCCAGTTGCATTGCTTAGTGTCTACTCTGCAACTCAAATCTCTGAGGGGGGGGGATTTAAATACAAAATCCCTCTCCCCCCACTCTCTCTTTCTTTTTTGTTGCTGGTATTGGCATCATTGATGGAGAATATGTGTGTGGTATTTCCTATTGGAAAAAGAACAGAGTTTTGAGAAGCCATCAGATGACTTATTTTTCTGACTGGCGCCTGTAATGAGAAGCAGGGCTGCTGCGTTAGCTGGGGAGGCTCAGGCACACATCGCATCAGACTCCATATTAAATATTACACCAGCATCTGACCCAAATGGCTAATAGCACAGTTAACACATCATCTCAACTTTGTTCCTGTACATTGTCAAGTTGCAGTAGGACCATATCAACTACAGTGCTATAACTGATACATAATACACAACGTCTATCTGAAGGGAAACATGGTTGAACAATGAGAGAAAGAGTTATGTTGTTGGTTTCGTACAGTGTTTCCCAACCGTGGTCCTCCAGTACCCCCAACAGTACACATTTTTGTTGTAGCCCTGGACAAGCACACCCATTCAGCTCATTGAGGGATTGATGATTAGTTGACCAGTTGAATCAGGTGTGCTTGTCCAGGGTTACAATAAAAATGTGTACTGTTGGAGGTACTCGAGGACCAGGGTTGGGAACCACTGGTTTAGTGTTGAGTTACAATGTGTTACAATGTCTGTTGCCAAAAGCTTTGTAAACAAGACATCCAAGCATATCTGTCAGCTTAGTTCGCCACAGAGCTAACACTTTATAAGAAATAATGAATTGGTTGATAAGCAGAATATGAAGCCCTTTCCAGTTCCAACTCAGTTACCTTTTCCATACACAGAGATTCTATCAAACCCTCTTCTCCAAATACCTAATCAGCCCTGGAATCACCATATCATTTGTCGAGCCCACCAAACTCAACGAGAGGTGATTTCACAGCAATCTGGTTAAAGCCCCCATCCCCTACCATAAATTCCTGGGAAATTGTTCAATTAATTAAGATGATCACGACTCAATTACTACCAGCTGCAGGGTTATTGCAGTTTGTTTTTACTCTGGGCTGTGGGGTCAAGGAAGTTGACGAGAGCTGCCGCTATGTCTGCCTGGCTGTTTGAATAAGTGGCATTCGATACCCAGGGGCCTTTTTTCCTTACTCCACCCCCCAGGCCAGAGAAATGGAGGAAGGGGAAGAAAATCTCCAGTATGTGCGAATGGAAGGAAAAATCAGACTGTACTAAATGGAGAAAAAAGGGGGGGGGGGGGTTTAGGATTAGGAAGCCTCAGTTGCTGATTCCATCTTATTGCGTTATTAAAATGTGGAGTGTTGCTGACTTTGGGGTAAGTTGTTTGTGTGTGTGTGTGTGTGTATCTGTTTGACAGCTGCTTCTGCTGTTTAGCTATAATTTACGCATTTCAAAAAATTATTTAATTCAAAAAGGAACATTTCTGTTGCAGCGTCAGCTGTCTATAATCGTCTCACACTGTGGTCTTGTTTATGTAGGTCATATTTCTTCAGATAAACAAATTCAGAGTGTGAAGGCAACACAGTCCAAAAATGTGGAGTAGATTTGCCCGAAAACTGCCAAATTAGACACAAGTGTAATTCAAATGGAGATGTGCTACTGTGTGGTCTTATTTTTTTAAATGTTTGCTTTTGTTGACTGATATCAATTACATTCCTTAGAGTACACTTCAATGAGTCTGGCAGCACATTTCAGCTGATCTAGGATCAGCTCACCATTAATGTAGGGTACACCGCCTTCTATTCGAATAGTTATTAAGTTGGCTACTATACCCAAAGGCTTGGAGTTTCCTCAAGTTGCGACACCTGCATGTGCTACCTGATTCATTTCATGAATAAGCAAAGCAGAGTTTGATAGATGCTTTAAATTCCTATTTTCATATGTTTCAATGTGTGTTAGTATGAGAAGCTAAAACCTGAAGACACCCAAACAAGACTGACTGGCAGGCGAGTCCTGAAACTATTAACATAACGGTGCATAATAACCTAATTTGTGAGAAAATTGGTTAAACAAATTTGAACTGTGTGCCGTCAAAATGGACAATGCCCCGCTTGTTTGTCCGTGGAGTTGGCCCGACACAGGTGGAGATCAACAGATAACCACTTGGAACTCTCCGGTACACATCGGTTTGCCTTTCAAAAGCTCTCATTAGATGTCTGGGCAGATGTTGGGGAGTAGAGAGAGATGGAGAGAAACTGTTTTGTTGAATGGACCGTAGCCAAGTTCTCCTTCACGTCTCTCCCTGTAGGCCTCAACTGCACAGTCTCAGTTGATATCACAGCCCTCATCTGCATTATCTTGCCACAATGTTTAAGGTTAGAGTTGGTTGGGTGTTGAGATTCAGGGTTACTGTAGTATGTTGTACTTACAGGTTAATACAACAGGGTTCAATTAATTGCTCTGAGATTCAAGCAAGTGAAGCATAACAGTTCCTGTAGGTCCTCACCTAGCCTATCTCTCTGTCTATCTGGAGAGGGCTGGCGTCTGCTGTGTGTAGTCCATGTTTTGCCAGATGGTCTTGACCACATCCTTCAAAATAGGGGACCTCATGGGGGTTATAAAAGGCATTGACTTGTGTGGTCTTTTTAGTTTTTTTGTTTAGAGGGTAGATCAGCTTATATTGCAGATAGATTGTAACTTCCATCAATGTAATTGTCTGCATCACTTCCAAACCCCCATGTTTTTTCTTCCTCTCGCAAATATATATATATACAGTGAGGGGGGAAAAGTATTTGATCCCCTGCTGATTTTGTACGTTTGCCCACTGACAAAGACATGATCAGTCTATAATTGTAATGGTAGGTTTATTTGAACAGTGAGAGACAGAATAACAACAAAAAAATCCAGAAAAACGCATGTCAAAAATGTTATCAATTGATTTGCATTTTAATGAGGGAAATAAGTATTTGACCCCTCTGCAAAACATGACTTAGTACTTGGTGGCAAAACCCTTGTTGGCAATCACAGAGGTCAGACGTTTCTTGAATTTGGCCACCAGGTTTGCACACATCTCAGGAGGAATTTTGTCCCACTCCTCTTTGCAGATCTTCTCCAAGTCATTAAGGTTTCGAGCCTGACGTTTGGCAACTTGAACCTTCAACTCCCTCCACAGATTTTCTATGGGAGTATGGTCTGGAGACTGGCTAGGCCACTCCAGGACCTTAATGTGCTTCTTCTTGAGCCACTCCTTTGTTGCCTTGGCCGTGTGTTTTGGGTCATTGTCATGCTGGAATACCCATCCACGACCCATTTTCAATGCCCTGGCTGAGGGAAGGAGGTTCTCACCCAAGATTTGACGGTACATGGCGCCATCCATCGTCCCTTTGATGCGGTGAAGTTGTCCTGTCCCCTTAGCAGAAAAACACCCCCAAAGCATAATGTTTCCACCTCCATGTTTGACGGTGGGAATGGTGTTCTTGGGGTCATAGGCAGCATTCCTCCTTCTCCAAACACGGCGAGTTGAGTTGATGCCAAAGAGCTCGATTTTGGTCTCATCTGACCACAACACTTTCACCCAGTTCTCCTCTGAATCATTCAGATGTTCATTGGCAAACTTCAAACGGGCCTGTATATGTGCTTTCTTGAGCAGGGGGACCTTGCAGGCGCTGCAGGATTTCAGTCCTTCACGGCGTAGTGTGTTACCAATTGTTTTCTTGGTGACTATGGTGCCAGCTGCCTTGAGATCATTGACAAGATCCCCCCCGTGTAGTTCTGGGCTGATTCCTCACCGTTCTCATGATCATTGCAACTCCACGAGGTAGATCTTGCATGGAGCCCCAGGCCGAGGGAGATTGACAGTTATTTTGTGTTTCTTCCATTTGCGAATAATCGCACCAACTGTTGTCACCTTCTCACCAAGCTGCTTGGCGATGGTCTTGTTGCCCATTCCAGCCTTGTGTAGGTCTACAATCTTGTCCCTGACATCCTTGGAGAGCACTTTGGTCTTGGCCATGGTGGAGAGTTTGGAATCTGATTGATTGATTGCTTCTGTGGACAGGTCTTTTATACAGGTAACACGCTGAGATTAGGAGCACTCCCTTTAAGAGTGTGCTCCTAATCTCGTTACCTGTATAAAAGACACCTGGGAGCCAGAAATCTTTCTGATTGAGAGAGGGTCAAATACTTATTTCCCTCATTAAAATGCAAATCAATTTATAACATTTTTGAAATGCGTTTTTCTGGATTTTGTTGTTGTTATTCTGTCTCTCACTGTTCAAATAAACCTACCATTAAAATTATAGACTGATCATTTCTTTGTCAGTGGGCAAACTTACAAAATCAGCAGGGGATCAAATACTTTTTTCCCTCACTGTATATATATCCTTTAAAAACATATATTTCCCTTTATTTATTTCCAACCCCACCACCCCGTCCCTAATTGGAGTAAACTAGTGAACAACAACGCTTAGGCCTCTACTTCCAGCTTATACATACTATTATGGACACAGTCAATTTTACAATTATTCAATTTTGTTTGTTTTTACTCCTGAACTTCCTCTACCCTCAACCTCTCCGATCATTTTCATGATGTCCATCCGGTTTGCTTCTATATGCCATCTCTTTCTAACTGTGCTCTTTCACAAAAGCTCTCAACCTATAACCTATTTACTTATTATGGACACAGTATGCTTTACATTAGTTATCTTGTTATTATTAGTTCTTGTTAGTTGTAATTAGTCCCATCCTTCAGCTCCATTCAACACCTCCCATCTATCTCTTAACACCATCCATATTGGATTTTTATTTGCCATATATTTTTCAACTGTACTTTGAGGTTTCACAAAAGTTCTGAACCCTTCTATTCTCATTGTTTCTACAGATTGTTATTGAAAATAAACATTTTTGCTAAAAGTATTATTATATTATTGATCGATTGACTATGACTTTTCAGATCTCCCAGTAGTGCAATCTGCAAGGTTAGCTCCAGGTAAATACTGCAATCCTTCAGCCATTCCTGGACCTGTGTCCAAAAACAAGCTACAAATGGACAGTACCAAAACAAATGATCTCATGATTCTGTCTCTTCGCAGCAAAATCTGCAGAGCTGGGAAGATTGTATCCCCTAAATAAATAACATTCTATTGGTAGCAAGAATTTTGTATAATAATTTAAATAGAATTTTTTTTGAATCTGGCGTCGTTTTGCGTATCAGTTCATAAACACTATGCCATGGAATCAGTACGTCAAAAATCTCTTCCCAACTATTTTGCAATACTTCCCATGACATGACTCTTGTATGGATTCTTATCCTCCATATGGGTCATGTCAAGTTTTCAAAGCCATGGAGACGCTCATTTGTAGCAGCACTGTTTGGGTTCAAGTGTGAAGTGTGTCAGAGAGTAAGCATTAACAACATCAGCTTGGGACACCATGTTGTATTTGGGGCGTCTCCGATGGAGGTGCTGCTCCTTCTCCACAGCTTAGCTGAGGGTCAGCATCACAAGCAGCTAAACTGAATCCTTGATGTACTGTATCCGGCCCATTTGCACTCAAATATGTACTCATACAAGCTACACTCAAAGGTTTGGTCATATATGAGTTGTCTGGTCATGGAGTCTAGGCTTCAGGGTGAGGCTCCACAGCTGGCCAGATGTTTACTATTGGGGGAAGGGCGATGGTGTTGGGGTACAAAGACCAGGGACTCATCATCATCACCACCACCACATCACACCTCCCTCCAGCTGACAGGCCCCAGGGTTAGTCCGTCTTTTGTAGAGGAACATGGACTGAGCAGCCAGCGCTGACAGTTGCTATCCAACCGACCCTCCCCCCAAAATATATTGATGTCCGGAGCGCCACAAAACTGGAAATACAGGTTCTTTATTCTTTTCTCTCAGCGACCAGTCAGGGGAACATGAAAATCGAGACCCAGGTGGTGTGTGCCCCTTTTGTTTGGGACCACAGAGGCCACGGTGCATGGAAAGCCCTTTGCAAATCTGCACACAAAAGGCTGGCTTGTACCCTTTCTACTGCGGGTGGTGTGCTGCACTGCACCTAGCTCAGCCTGTGGCTGTTGCCTAAACTGTGTTATTTAAAAAAAAATTAACTAAATAAGACCATTTTTAGGCAGTGACTGAGTGTTTAATACGAAAAAAAGGGGATTGGGTTTCAGGCTCCCAGAACCAACCCTCTACCCCCACCCTCAGCCCCACACTCTTACAGTCGGTTGGCATAGAACCAAGCATTGAGTCTTGGCCTTGCCAGAGGCTAGGCAGAGGGACGTGCTGTGGCAGGTTCTACCCCTACGTGCCCCAGACATCCCATCAACCTCTCCTCCCTGGGCCTCTATCCATATATCCTCCTGGACTTTATTCCAGGTTCGACTGACTGACAGACACACTCGTCTGTTTTCCTCTGGATGTTGTGGTGGTAACGCTGCCAAGGGGTGTTACTGTCTCTACGTGGGGAGCCCAGTCATAAGAGAGGTATGGATGGCAGAAGATTTAGGGAAATGTGTGGAAAATGACTGCTCTGTCCAAGTCAAAGATCCCACTTTCTGAGGCTTTATGATGGACTGAGAAGCTACGTTGCCACTGTGCTCAATTTCTTGCTTGATTGTATCTTCAGTGCTGTTTTAGTCTCGCTTTGGCCAGGCGTACAGCGGAGCTGAGCCAGTTTGAGACTTTGAGTCTGGCTCTCGACTAGTGCTGGTTCGGTGTGTTAGTTTCATTGTTGTTTTCTTATTGGCAGCTTCTTGAAGGATACTAGTGTTCACATAAACCAGTACTTCACAGCCATGTCAATGTTTATCCATTTCTCAAAAGGGATGTATGTTGACGTGCTTTGCATGCACAGTATAGGGAAAACACTAACATTCACTTTGTGGTCAGGATCAGGAAAATGCACAAAAGATATGTATCATAAAGAAGATAAAATTAAGTACTGATGCATTAATACAAGTAAAACAATTTTTTTGGGGGGGGTTATGTTAGCCTTGCAATTAATACTGAAAAGGGGCCTGCAGTTTGGTGTATTAGAGGGAATTCCTACTCTTTACCCTCACTCTCTCTTTCCCTCGCTCGCTCTTTCTCTACCCGTCGAGGCCCATCAACAAAGACGGCTCTGTACAGACACTGTTTATAACTAAGCAGTCCCTGCACTGCAATTTAGGAGGCGTGCAGCTCAGGAAATTGCCGGCCTCTGCTGAGGCATGCTTTCACTGAGGGAATGGTATTCATCAGCCAAGTAATTGGCAGGTTATTTTTTTAAATACCTTGTTAGTAATTACCTTATAAACAAAATAACACAGCACTAAACCAAACGGCTGTTTTGACCTGTTGAGATGAGTAGTGACATTGGTTAGCCCTAGTATTGCCCCTTCCTCCCCCTTTCCTAGACAACCAGGGAACGGTGTTCTTTTTCATGGTTCAGGGAGAGACTCAATGTTCCAGGAAAAATGTCTAATATTAACATAATAATAATAATGAGAACTGGGGTAGCGAGGTTCGAGGGGAACGCTCAGGCGAGGGTGGTCATTTTTTAAATACCGCCCGCTAATTGACTGCTCTGAGTATTTGTATGTCTGGAAACGTTAGACTGGTGACCCGCGTTGTTAAAATACACCGTATTTTCTAGCGTTCATTGGAGCCGTTCTATCTGTGTTTTCAGAGCAAACAACAGGATCACGAAGATCTCTCTGGAGCAGCTGAGGCCCCTGCGAGGCCTGGAGACCCTGGACCTCAGCAATAACAGCATAGTGGATATCAAGGCTGACTCCTTCCCTGCACTGCCTCTCAAGAACCTGTGAGTCCGTCCGTTTTGACTTTTTACCTAAAATGAATGGTTAAACTCCGTCCAATAATACTATCTAAGTCTGGATCAAATAGTTACATTTTGGTGGAACTACAACACTGTTTGGTCATTTTTCCTCTTTGGAATTAATGATATGATCAATGTATTTTCTTCTCTTGTAGTATCATGAACAACAACCGCATTTCCACCCTGGAGACGGGCTGTTTTGTCAACCTGTCCAGCACTCTGCAGGTCCTCAGGCTCAACCGCAACCGCCTCTCGACCATCCCTGCCAAGATCTTCCAGCTCCCCAACCTCCAGCACCTGTAAGTGACAATTGCACTTTGAGCACTGTTGGGGTTGACCGCTTCTTGACTTGCCCTCAAACTATACTATGACCGCTCTTTGAACGTTTGTGTAACGGTCCACGTCTTTTCACTACTCTTTGATGTTTCTCTGACTGCTCTGTGAACTTCCTGAAAACGCATTGTGACTGCACATTGACAGTGCGTTGACATCTCCAACCACTCTTTGACCACTCTTCCAACAGTCATTGACATCTTCTTGGCTTCTCTTAGATGAATTAGATTCCTTTTCAACCTCACTTCTTGAGTTAAGTGAACTCTTATTCCTTCCTGTATATATGATGATGCGGTTCTCTTACGGTCTGCTTGTGGTCCAACCTGCAGGGAGCTGAACAGGAATCGGTTGCGCAGGGTGGAGGGCCTGACGTTCCACGGTCTGCACGGTCTGCGCTCGCTGAAGGTGCAGAGGAACGGCATCAGCCGCCTGATGGACGGAGCCTTCTGGGGCCTCAGTAACATGGAGGTCCTGTAAGTAACTGTCCTCTGTGACAAGAAAATGTGTCTTCCTTTACTAGTGGTTGATTTAACAGTATATGTCTGGGTGCAAGTGTCTGCATACCATCTTTGGATACATATTTGTAGCCATTTGTCTTGACAACGATAGTTGGCCATAGCCTATACAGTGTGGTATCAGTCCAGGCTAGCATATGTCTTCATCTCTGTCTTTCTGTGTGTGTCTATATGTAGATTACTAACCTCTGTGTGTCCTTGCAGGCAGCTGGACTACAACAACCTGACGGAGGTGAGTAAGGGCTGGCTGTACGGCCTGTTGACTCTGCAGCAGCTCCACCTGGGCCACAACGCCATCAGCCGGATCCGGCCCGACGCCTGGGAGTTCTGCCAGAAACTCAGCGAGCTGTGAGTGACCCTTTCTTCTTCGTCTCCCTCCCTCTCTTTTTCTCTCTCACTTTCTCTCCTACTTACACTGTGAGCTCCCAACACCTCTCTCTCTCTCTCTCCCTCACTTCCGCCCTCCTTCCTCTCAGTCTCCAACTCGCCACTCCCACACATACACACTCCCCCCTCTCTTCCTCCACCCCTAGAGCTCAGTGCCAACACCAATGCAGGGCTCCTGCCAAAATATTACGCCCCCCACTTCACCCCCACCACTATAGCCCCCCTCCTTTAATGCCTCGCCACGTCTATAGGGGAGAGGGAGGGATTTCACAACCAGAGTGTCTGAAGCGACAAGTGGCGGCAGCAACATATTGTTTCCTTTGTTGTTAACGTTGTTTATGGCACTGGCCAATTACTAAGTCCGCCATGTTTTTTTTACGAGCGACTAGGTTGTTTCTGAAAGGGGAGTTGTTGTTTTTTCCCATTTCTCTTATCAAGTGAACCTGAGTGTAAACCAAATTGGCAGTTGACAGATATTTTTTCGCCCACGCATTGGTAAATAGCCTTCTTTCTGGTTTGTTCGTTTTTTCGTCTGATGTTTGCTTTTGAGGATTTCTATTACAAAGTTAATACTTTTTATACTGTTTGCTTAAGGTTAAACAAAGTAGGCCAGCTGTGCAAGGTACAATCTAACTTTCAAAACTTAGTTTAAAAAACTTTCTGAAAGCTTTTAGTAAAGAACTTTAGTTTGACTGGATATGCCTTGATAATAATTAGATAACATGTTTTAGTGGTGGTTCTAATGCTTATTACAAAGTGCTTATTGTAATTCATAGACTGATCTGGCTAGATTTGTTGCTAGTGATCTAAGGCCCGTTTATCATCTACCTCAACTGTTTATTTCTGGAGCATGGAAGGTACAATCTAACTAAACCCCCCCCCCCCCCTTCCATCTGCAACTGTGTGATGCTGATGTTCCTTCTCTCTCCACCCGACAGGGACATCTCGTCGAACCACTTGACAAGACTGGAGGAGTCCAGCTTTGTGGGCCTCAGCCTGCTTGACGAACTCCACATCGGAAACAACCGTGTGAGCTTCATTGCAGATGGAGCCTTCCGAGGACTCTCCCACCTACAGATGCTGTAAGTTTGAATAAGGATGACTAAACTCAATTTCAGTGAATTACTTGTCAGAGATGACAGCTCTATTGTATAATGGTGCTGAAGCATTAAATGATTATTTTCAACGTCCCACTGGCAGTGAGCGCATTAGCCATGGTTAATATCACTAATCCTGGTTCTTAGTTTTCCCTAATGTTGTTTGAGAAGCATCAAGGCTCATGAGAGTTTAGGGATGAACTTGATTTAAACTCCGAAGTGACATGGTTATAACAGTAATCAGCCTACACTTTATCATTGTTCCATAAGAGAAGCCCTATCTCACTTCTATGAGAGTACATTAGCAGTTAGCTAACTTCTCAGATGCTGCCTGCTTGTTGCATTTCACTTCCTGTCCCTCTCCACACTCATCGAGGCGTGAGTGGAAATATTCCGCCTTGTTTGTTTTCGGTATGTGAAATAGATGAACGTACTGCCTGTGGTTTCTCCCCACACATAAAAACCTCAACCAGCCAGCAGAGTGAGTCCACCACTCCATCCCCCCATCTACAGACCAGCTCCATAACATTGCCCCTGGTCCCTCTCTTAAATGGAACCAAATGTTAACTGTGCGTGAAAGGTCAGCAGAGGGCAGGTGTGTAGGTAGGTGGACAGGGAGTTGGGGTGGCTTAGGGGGCTTTACCCCCCAGCCCCAGCCCCTCTCCACAACCCGCTCCTCTACCCCCTCCACCCCTCCTCAACCCCAATCATTTGTAACCAGGCATGCAGAGGAGGAAACTAGCTGTTTGAAAGTATTTGAAGAGACTTGAGAGAGAGGGAGCGGGGGAAGGGTGAAGACATCCAGCAAATCTCTTTAGCAGACATGATGTACTGCTGTGTGCACATGCCATTCAGTTAGGTTAAAAGAGATTTAGGATTTTTCAAAGCCCTTTGATATTTACTTTAAAATGTGATTTACCCCATCCATAAAACCCATTGCTAAAAACGTATAGTTTTTCACTAAATTAAGGTGTCTAAAATACAAGAGGAGGTAGCACAGACGTGTGGGTTTGAGTTCCTCACTGTTAAACACGTTGCATTGCATGTGAAGCAGTGTTTTGCTGCGAGACACAGAGAAACCATCGCAAACACTTAAAAAGCCCCCAAAGTTAGCGAGAAACATCCTCCAGTGATGGGACCACTTTGAATACAAATGTAAAGCCTTTAACTTTTTTCTCGTCCTTCACACGAAACGCAAAGCCGCACCAAGGTTTATGAAGACTATAATAAGTGCAGTTGTTTTCTGGGTGTGGATTTTTACAATGTGGTTTGTCATTGTTTCTCTGGAAATAGAGATCTGCAAAACAACGAAATCTCCTGGACCATTGAAGACATGAACGGACCATTTTCTGCTCTGGACAAACTAAGGAAACTGTGAGTTGGCTTGACTTTACCATGGCTATGTCTTCTAACCTGTTGATTTCCAGAAGATAGATTAGAAACTATAAAATGGGCCATGAGAACTGATTTGAACTGGAAGTATTTGCTTCTTATCATAATATAAATTGCTGTATTTGAATGACAACTCAAATATCCTTTTCTCAGGTTCCTTCAAGGGAATCAAATCCGCTCGGTGACCAAGAAGTCGTTCTCTGGCCTGGACACACTGGAGCACCTGTGAGTTGACCTTCAAATAAATATGATCATTGGTCTGTCTCAACTGTCCTAAAGCTGTAAACTTAATGTGGGATAATCCATAACCATTAGAAACAAAGCCTGTTTGTGAGAACCACACAACCTTAATGTCTCTGCTTATTCTCTAGACTTTGATGAAAAACAGAGCTGTCTGGTATTCACCATCTCCATATGTGGGGAGACTATTGATCACTAACTGCTTAGGTATGGCTAGAGGAGTGTGTGTGTGTGTGTGTGCGCGCGCCTGTGTGTTCGTTCTTGCGTGTGTGGAGGTTTCTGTGTGTACAAGTGTGTGTGTTTATATCTGTGAAACAGCTGCATTTGATTCTAATTAACTTTTTTTCCCAGTCGTGTCTGAGCTCAAAGGAGCCGAAGACAGGCCCCTCTTGATTAACAAAGCACGGTGCTGCCCAGATTTATATTGTACTCCAGACCTTTTCTTCCCTCTCTCTCTGATTATTGAAGTGTTAGCAGTCTTCCTCCAGATAGGTCTAGACGGAGGGGAAAGTTTGCCATCTTTCTGTGTACATTCCCCTGGTTCTGATCCATCCATTCTCCTCGCTTTTCCCCCCTCAGAGATTTGAGTAATAATGCGATTATGTCGGTCCAAGGGAATGCCTTTGTGCAGATGAAGAAGCTTGAGGAACTGTAAGTATCTCTGCGTTCAGTCACACAGTATTCATATTCTGCAATGCCAATAGACCAGAGTCACTGTTCTGGACTAACTGAGGAAAGGAAAGAGTCTTTCATAGAAAATTACTTCAAAAGCACCTATACTCATAAAAGTGATTATCTTAAAATGTAACGACCATAAAATTGCTCAAGTATTACGGAGCATCTTTGTGCCGGGTCTCTCTTGTGATTCCTGGCTCTAACGCAGTAACCCCCCCCCCCCCCCCCCCAGGCACCTGAACACATCCAGCCTGCTGTGTGACTGCCAGCTCAAGTGGTTTCCTCTGTGGGTGGCGGAGCAGGCCTTCCTGCACTACGTGAACGCCAGCTGTGCCCATCCCCTGATGCTGAAGGGCAAGAGCGTGTTCACCGTCAGACAGGAGGACTTTGTGTGTGGTGAGTGTGACTGACACACACACACACACACACACACACACAAGCCTCTTAATGTAGCCCTTGTTAAAAACAGCCATTTAGCCGTGACAGGTTTTCCATTTATGAACTGACCCAGATTGTTCCATATTTTCCTTCAACTCATGGACACTGATGGAGCCAGCATTGTAATGGAACCATGTAGAAACTCAGTGAGTTAACAGCTTGGCCGGGTGGAGTCAGAGACAGCAGGGAGAAAATAAATAATTGTTGAGGAATTTCTGGGACCAGTTTCATTAAGTAATTACTACTATTAGAGCTGAGGTGCTTTGCCTTCAGAGCTTTCAACATTTACCCAGTCAGATAGGCGCATAAAATCTTATCGTTTCCATATTTAAGCTGGTTGTCGACCATCACGGTTTAAACAAAAACTGGTTAGCCCCAAAATGAATGTCAATTTGAGTTTAGACCCATTTACTTCAAATGGAAACTAATGTTTTTCCCTTCTTGTCTTCCAACCAGACGACTTCCCCAAACCTCAGATCACGGTGCAACCTGAGACCCAGTCGGCCATCAAAAGCACCAACGTCACCTTCGTGTGCTCGGCGGCCAGCTCCAGCGACTCACCCATGACCTTTGCCTGGAAGAAGGACAATGAGGTCCTGAATGACGCTGAAATCCACAACCAGGCACACCTCCGAGCCCAGGGGGGAGGCCAAGGCCGTGAAACAGAGGTTACAGAGTACACCACCACACTGCAGCTACGCAGTGTAGAGTTCACCAGCGAGGGGAAGTACCAGTGTGTCATCTCAAACCACTTTGGTTCCTCTTACTCCACCAAGGCCAAGCTCACCGTCAACAGTAAGTTAAATAACCTACTGGTATTGATTTGACTGGTTATTTGGGGTCATTTCAAGAGATTTGTCATTCTTAGTATAACTCTCAGCATGATAAACTATGACGAACTAGTACACAAGTACACTGCAAATATCAACTCGGAGTGCCCTACGAACATATAAAGAATCTCATTATGACTGACATTGCAAAACCTTGTAACTTTGATGTCGCTCTTGAAGTGGTGCTGCCGTTAGATGTCAAATAAAATGTCCATCCCTTTTGTCCCTCCAGTGCTTCCGTCCTTCACCAAGATGCCCATGGACCTGAGTATCCGGGCCGGTGCCACGGCCAGACTGGAGTGTGCCGCCGTGGGTCACCCGTCTCCGCAGATCGCCTGGCAGAAAGACGGGGGCACAGACTTCCCCGCCGCCCGGGAGCGCCGTATGCACGTAATGCCTGAGGATGATGTGTTCTTCATCGTGGATGTGAAGACAGAGGACATCGGGTTGTACAGCTGCACCGCCCAGAACACCGCCGGAGCCATATCAGCTAACGCTACGCTAACTGTGCTAGGTGAGAATTGCTCTTTCTATTTTCACCAGCTAGCAAAGAACTTTGCATTTGTCTGTGGGTGCCTCTTCATTTTGACACAGATACATTTTTTATTTGATGGTATTCCATGAGTGTTTCCCCCACAAATCGACATATGAATCAGGCGTTTTGAGACTGTCAGGCAACTAACACTCCCCCTTACCCCATTCTCCTCCAGAAACGCCCTCTTTTCTGCGCCCTCTCATGGACCGCACTGTGGCCAAAGGGGAGACTGCGGTCCTCCAGTGCATCGCCGGCGGCAGCCCTTCCCCCAGGCTCAACTGGACGAAAGACGACAGCCCCCTTGTGGTCACAGAGCGCCACTTCTTCGCCGCCGCCAACCAGCTGCTCATAATAGTGGACGCAGCGGAGGGCGACGCGGGGAAGTACACGTGCGAGATGTCGAACACTCTGGGCACCCAGCGGGGCAACGTGCGCCTGGCCGTGCTGCCCAACCCCAACTGTGACGTGGGGGTGGGCGCCTCGGGAGGCTCGGACGAGGACGGCTGGACCACAGTGGGCATCGTCATCATCGCGGTGGTGTGCTGCGTGGTGGGCACCTCGCTGGTCTGGGTGGTCATCATCTACCATACGCGCCGGCGCAACGAGGACTGCAGTGTCACCAACACAGGTGAGGAGAGGGTGCCATTTTGTCTGCACAGGATTGGCTTTGAGGAGTTCAGTACTTGCATGCCCATGTTGCCTCCTCCCTCGAACAGAAAATATTGCGAAATTACATTTTTGAAACTTGAGTTATGGGCTCCAGCTCCACATACTTTGGCTGGTATGTTATTAAAACAACACCTTTTCAGAATACTTTGAAATGAATCAGTGACAGACCATTGCCTTGAACATGTTATTATTATTGTATTTCTCTATGAAAACATTTCTGAGACTTTTCCCTCCCTGGTGTTTTCCCTGCAGACGAGACCAACCTGCCAGCAGACATCCCCAGCTACCTGTCCTCTCAGGGCACGCTGGCCGATAGACAAGATGGCTACGTCCCCTCAGAGAGTGGCAGTGGCAACCACCAGTTCATGGCTTCCTCCATGAGTGGATTCTACATGCAGCCTAAAGACATGAACGGTAGGAGAGCAGCTCTTTCATTGGAAATGCATGGGGACTTTTATATTATGAATATATGCATTGCATCAAAGTCAACTGTACTCTGAGCATTTTTCTATATGTATCATACAGTATTGTTTCACCTGAATACATATTGGAATGGTGTAAGTAATTTGAGGCAAGTACCAATGCGTTACTAATGTGTCATGTGACTCGTACAGGTCTGTGTCAGCTGGACACAGGAAGTGAAGCGGACATGGAGGCGGCCATAGATCCCCTGCTCTGCCATTACCAAGGTCCCATCAGCTCTCTCCTCAGGAGAGGCAACATGTACACCGGAGAACCCTCAGAGGCTTTCACAGGTCGGTGCAACAGATATATATAAAAATATATATATTGTAGCATTATAAATATTTTTCCCTAAATTAAACAATTTTGTTGCTGTCATACTGATCTGATTTCCCATGGCTCACTGTAACTTCTCCCCCCCCTCTCCCTACAGGCTATGCTATAGACCAGCGGCCCATCTGCATAGACTCCTACAGTGGTAGCCTGACCAGCTCCAAGAGGAGGGACTACTATCCATGTGGCAAGGCCCTTCAGGACCCCTTTGATCACGGGAGTCCCAGTGTGCAGATGCCCAACGGCAGCAGCTTCCACGGGCCACCCCACCTACAGGGCGAGGGCCCCCCCTCCATGGACGAGGGAGATGGGAGCGAGTACGGCCGACCTCGGGAGACGACGCTCTCCTCCAATACCTTCATGGGTACGTCTGAGGAAATTTCTCAGTATGGATTTGGGTCAAGTCAAGCACATTTTAAATTCACTCAATTACTAAGTGATTTATTGAATTTTCATTTTCTAATTTGACAACTAACACAACGTGAATGTCTCAGGCCTTACCCTGTATCTCCCTCCGTCCTTCCATCCCACAGGAACGTTTGGGAAAGCCCCCTGGAGGCCTCAACAGGAATTCTACCCCGGGTTTGCACCACCGCCACTGGCCCTGCACAACAGCATGATGCTACACGAGAATCCCTACGCAGCCCTGGACACAGACTCAGAACGCGAGGAAGACAAGAACAGCGTCCAGTCAAAGGATTCTAGATCGGAATCGGAAAAGAGTGCCAATAACATCTATGAACAACCGTATGATCTCAACAGGACTGCTGCTAGTCAGCATGGTCGAGCGAGCACATAGCTGAATATGTGCGTTCAAACGAACTGACATTCCTATTAGTTTTTCTTCATTACGAGGATGACCAAAATAAATGCTACCTCAGTAAATGGACACTTTCTCAATGATGGACACTGCAAACGTGCAACGTGTGAATGTAAAAGGATAATGCATTGTGCCTACAAAATGCTGAAAAATTATATGAGGAGATATTAACAGTGAGGACTGTTCTTTTATTAAGAAAGGAAAATGGGAAACATCTTCAATTGAAGATAGATATTGAATATATATATATATATATATACGTTTTTATACAAAGTTTATTATATTTTGTAAATTAAGGGTAAAAATAGAATCCATTATTTTTGCTGTCCTTTTTCCTGTTTGAGTATTTTGTTTTGTGCGACCGACCATGCCTGTTCAGTTATTCTAGCTTTTTTTGTTGCTTTGAGTTAAGCAGCCCTTTGCACATACTTATACATAATAAAACACCATAACGTGCTGCTACGTACATTAAAAGTACTGTGACTCTTTCCATACTTTAAATGGCTGTACCATGCACAGACACCACTGTTCTCTAATGGAGGACAAAGAGAATAGAGGTATAGGAGAGGATTGCTGAAGCCCTGCCGGGGATGAGAAGGGGGGGGGGTTGACATAGAGCATGGCTTTTCCGAGCCGAACCACAGACCGCCAAGGACGGCTTGCGCCTGCCATGAGGCCCCCCACCATGCTGGCCGAATAGAATCCAACAAGTGTATGCTGGGAAAGTGTGTGTGTGTTTGTGTGCGTTTGGCATTTGTCTGTGTGTGTGGGAAGTTCAGGGCTAGCTCCTGAGACCATCGATGGAAGGCCAAATTAGGGCAGACGTGTCAGAAGGAAGGAACAGTCACATGAGGTCTCTGGAACTGTTGGAGCTGGCCGTCTGGTCCTGCTCTCTCCCAACCAGCCAGTCACAGGGCTCCCCTCTCCCCCACTTTGGGTCTTCGTCTCTGGGAAGGAGGGTGGGGGTTGCTGCTCTTGCTGTATTCAGCACATGGAAGCTTTTCACCAGATGAGTCACTCCCCAAGGCTGTCCCCTTCTGGCTTTTTCACATCTTGGGTTTGTTATTTCAGGCCTCTCCTTTTCAACATGGAGGAAAAAGGTGTGCTTGTCCGCTAGCTGTCGAAACTTGCACTTGGAAAGTATCTTGCGGGCTCTCTCACTGCCACACTGGAGATGTGTATATAAAATGGCTGATTCATTGAGAGGGGATGGTGGTGCCAGTATTTTGAGGTGGGCTTATAGAAAGATACCTTACTAAGGGGATTCAATTCAGCCGTCCAGTTCATCTGCCAATCTTGCAATGTGGATATATAGTAGAAGAGCTTATAAAGACATTGAGTTATAACACATTTTCTAGATGTATTCAAATGTTTTGTATAAACCTCTTGGTTTATGGAATCATATTCAGAGAGGTTTGTTTGAAAACCCATCCATGTCCTTGAGCCTCAGCGACACACCTTGTTATTCACTGAGTGCTTATTGGGGAGTACGCATTCACCCCGGTGTAAAGGAATGAAACAATCTGTTGGAAGTTTTGCCAGCTCTTTGAGGAACTTGGGATAAGCACAAGATGGTGGAACCAGAACCACACACATTCAAACACCTGGAAGACAGCTGCTGAAGCTAGTCCTCAAACACCAGGCTTCCCATTGGTTTAGGGAAGCTTGTGGGGTCTAACAAACATGACCCGATACAGATGAGGTGGTGCAGAAAGATGTTTGATCAACTTGGAGAATTACCAAAGCCTGAAAGCATTCACTTCAAACCTTCCCTGAATTTAAACAGTGTAGTGAATTTGTGGCTAGATAATTGTTTGATGAACACATAAAGAATGCTGAAGTTGACGTTATTAGTCAGTAAAACCAAACTTCAACTCATCTCTTTCTCGATGATCTAGGAAATGTATATTGTTCTGATTACTGAGTTAGTTAGCTGCCTATGTAAATAACACATTTTCCCTAGTTCATGAACTATCACCAAGGGTTTCTTTAGGTTAAGATTATACCTTGTTGATTTCCCCACAATGTTGTTCAGATGAGACTTCTCACCAGCAAACATAGTTTTGCAATTAACTATTACTATGCATTACTATAACTACACTATGAACTACTATGCATGTAGCAATTACCTGTGTGGATGTAATTTACCTCCACACATTTTAGTGAGGCCAAAATTGTTTATTTATTCCTCTGGGAAAGTTTCTAAAACAACTGCAATCGAGAAACAATTTGTGCCATAACAAGGGGCTGAAAGGTTTACTTGAGAAAAAGAAATACATTATTTGGAGCCAGTAGACTCCTGCAGAGACTGCAGCCAGCAAGAACCTTCACGTTTCCAGCCGGGGGAAAAAAGAAAACACTGGCCAGATTGCAGAATCATTTCCCCTCTTTTATTTAGGCTCCAGAGAAACGAGACAGGAAGTCGTCTATTCCTCAGACCACCAATGACTGTCAGTAGGGGTTACTGAGTCCCCCCCAGCCCCTGGTTCTGGATCAGCATCTGAGCCCCACACATTGACCCTCACCAGTTTACTGGGCGCAATCGAACACTGATCTCGGATCAGTTCCTTAGGCCAGCATTGGACTCCCCACCCCTGTGAATAAGCCCAGAAAATGAATTTAGCATGCCAGAGCCTTATCTCATTGCCAGACACTCTGAAATTCGTAGCTAATTTGTCTTCATTGTAGCCAGATGTGGCGACATGGAGACAGATGTTTATGATATTAAATGGCCATGGGCGGCTCACTGAAATTGTATTATTTTGTTGTGAAGCTCAGAAAATCTGCTGGGGGAATGGAGTCTAACTCTTACTGCCTCCCTCAACATCCCTATGTTCTGTTTCCAAACTCTGTCTGTCGGTGAGAAGTTTTCAGATCGTGCATAAAGAAAATCATGTTTATTCACTGACATTAATAATTCTAATTATTAATAATTATTCTCTTAAAATAAATGTTTTCCTTTATCTGCTTCTGAACATGGTGAGGCCTTATATTCACTGGTCAGTGGAAGATTATTTATTGTGGATATTCTTTCCAACCCTCCTAGACAACTAGTTCACAATTTATTCGTTGATGTAACTTCTGGGGCAAACCAAAATGATGAGTGCGCCGCACACTTGCTTCTTCCACGCATCATATCATTTCTAAACAACAGTACCACCCCCAAACCAACGCAAATTTGTTTGCAAGTTTGTTCATGCAGTCACAGTTTACCCTTCTCAAGTATCTCAAACCCACTGCTGGTTTTGCCTGAAGGACGTTCTCGGTTTTTGGCTGATTGTCATTAACCGCATGATAAAATGTTAAGATCTTCCACAAGCAGGGAGCTAGCTGTAGCATCTTGAGAGTTGGCTGGTAACACTGGAGTAGTGGCCAGTGAGAGATACCCTCTGACCAAAGACTTTGAAAAACATGGCTGCTGGATTCTCACAGTCAAACATGGCCAATTAAAGAGACTTTCCGGAAGATTGTTTTGCCAGTAGTTGTGCTCAAGAACCAAAACGGGTCCCCGAATATTGCATGCTATGACATGCTCTCTGCTGTGTCACTGAGTTGTTGGGCCCACCCTGCAACCTCACTGGATAACGCTGGGTTGGCCTGGGCAACTCGTCACTCAAATGGCGAGGGTCTGAAGCTCATTGGCTGGAACTCGAAGTGCTGGGGGGGGGGGGGGGGGGCTGGCCCACGTGGGCCAAGCTTGCAGTACTCAAAATGGTGCCACACAGCTTCCAGAAAACAGTCGCTTTCAAACTAGGTACGGTAAGACAGTAATGCTGCTCAGAGATTATGCATGTATGAACTACACATTGACAAATCGAGCCCAAAGCGGGAGGTTGAAAAAATAATGACTTAGTCGCCAAAGTTCCAGAAAGTCTCTTTAAGTTAACCATCAGTGAATCCCACCCTCTCCTCCACTAAAAAGCTCTCCTTTGGCTCTTCCATCGAACCATAGGGGCTCATATGATTAAAAGCAGATAAAAGCATTTTTCGTCTTGCAGATGTAATAAATCACTAGCTGGGCCTGCCTAGGCAACTGGCTGTCTGACAAATGTTCCACAATAACTAAGCCCCCCCCCCCCCCCCACCCCCCACCCCCCCACCAACCCTTCCCGTAAAAACAATTTGAAGAAAAAAGTCTGGAATTTCTACCAGGTTGCTTGTAACTCTTTCGGGACAATTGTAAACTCCCAGCCATGTCAGCACAGGTGAAAACCTGAAGGAACCATAAAGGAAGGAAACAACGCCCACACCCGGCTTTCTCTTTCTCTCACACTCTACTTTTTTTTCACCACGGAGGCTACGGTCTTAAACTCCCTTGTCTCCAATGCAGTCTCCACTGTGACTAATTCCACACAAAACGATGGCGGCTGAACCAGCCAGACTGCCTAAGCCTTCATGGATGGTGTTAGCTGACACCCCCACCCCATAAAAAAAAAGCCATAATGGCTGAGACGACGACCAAGGCCATGAATCAGTCTCTTGACGGCTTTGAAAAAGATGCTGTCTCACCATAGCCTCAAAGCCACACTATTCACTACTCCCATCCCATTGCATTTCACACTGATAATGGTGGATTTGGACAGGGTCCCAGAGGATTTTATGTTTATAACCCAGGGGAGAAGACATCTTGCTATGCAGACACAAATACAAGAATAGTGACTAATACTGTACTGTCCACCCAACTAATCTACTGTTAATTAGACTAAAATACAGGAGAAAATATTTTCTTCAGACCATCAAACTCTAGATGGATTTGAATTCCAGTTCTCCCCATCAATTAAACTAAGACGTGTCTTATTCATCATTGTTTAACCTTTCGGTGCTTTAGTGTACAGTTACATGCCCCCATTATAGTTGACACAAACCCTGCAGGTGAAATATAGTATAACTAACTCATAGTGGTGTGCCCCCTTTCATTCTCCATTTCCTGACCTTGTAATAGGGGTTTGTGACATGTGTAGTGAAGCATAGGGGTGAGAGAGGACTGGGGGAGTAGTGTAGTGAGGGATAGGGGTGAGAGAAGAATGGGGGAGTACAGCGACGAGAGGCTAAGTGTCAGGATTTATGGAGGTGATGGTGACAGCAACCCACTAGAGGCCATCAGACTCGCCTGCACCAGGGTTACTTCAGACCCTATTAAGATTTTTGTTTTGGTTTACAGCTGGTTTGAAGACTGACTGCAAGGTGTCCTTTCTTGTTTCATAAGTAGTATGTTTCAGAGTATTACGCAACAGGAAGTCAGTCAATTTATTTGTGTTGTCAGAGTGAACAGTTTTATTAATTCCATGGCATATTCCCTTTGATTATCAAAAGAAGGATTCGTTACTTTGTTTTGTTGGAAAGGGATAGGCATTATCATGGTAAATACATGAATAGAACAGTTAGTGTATCAATAAAATAGAAGTAGCCAGTGGACATCCAAATCTAAAAATAGTGTTACAATTTTGGTGGTGTCAAACACATCAGAAATAATC